CTTTTAAGGTATCTGCTTTAGTTTCTCTGTGTTAAGGGCAACAAATGCTAGCTAATTTTTTAGGTGTCTTACCTATCCTCACCCCTCCCTTGTGTGCTAAAGCTTTTATCATGTGCTCAAAGTCCAATCCCCTTGTTGTGTTTGCCCTTGATCTAATGTCCACATATGAGGGAGAACATACGATTTTTGGTCTTTTGGGCCAGGCTAACCTCACTCAGAATGATGTTCTCCAATTCCATCCATTTACCAGCGAATAATAACATTTCGTTCTTCTTCATGGCTGCATAAAATTCCATTGTGTATAGATACCACATTTTCTTAATCCATTTATCAGTGGTGGGGCATCTTGGCTGTTTCCATAACTTGGCTATTGTGAATAGCGCCGCAATAAACATGGGTGTGCAGGTGCCTCTGGAGTAACCTGTGTCACAGTCTTTTGGGTATATCCCCAAGAGTGGTATTGCTGGATCAAATGGTAGATCAATGTTTAGCTTTTTAAGTAGCCTCCAAATTTTTTTCCAGAGTGGTTGTGCTAGTCTACATTCCCACCAACAGTGTAAAGGGTTCCTTTTTCCTCTATCCTCACCAACACCTGTTGTTGGTGGTTTTGCTAATGATGGCTATTCTAACAGGGTGAGGTGGAATCTTAGTGTGGTTTTAATTTGCATTTCCTTTATTGCTAGAGATGGTGAGCATTTTTTCATGTGTTTTTTGGCTATTTGAATTTCTTCTTTTGAGAAAGTTCTGTTTAGTTCACTTGCCCATTTCTTTATTGGCTCATTAATTTTGGGAGAATTTAGTTTTTTGAGTTTCCTATATATTCTGGTTATCAGTCCTTTGTCTGATGTATAGCTGGCAAATATTTTCTCCCACTCTGTGGGTGGTCTCTTCAGTTTAAAGACCATTGCTTTTGTTGAGCAGAAGCTTTTTAGTTTTATGAGGTCCCATTTATCTATGCTATCTCTTAGATGCTGTGCTGCTGGGGTTCCATTGAGAAAGTTCTTACCTATACCTACTAACTCCAGAGTCTTTCCTACTCTTTCCTGTATCAACTTTAGAGTTTGTGGTCTGATATTAAGATCCTTGATCCATTTTGAGTTAATATTGGTATAGGGTGATATACGTGGATCTAGTTTCAGTTTTTTGCAGACTGCTAACCAGTTTTCCTAACAGTTTTTGTTGAAGAGGCTGATTTTTCTCCATCGTTTATTTTTAGCACCTTTGTCAAAGAGAAGTTAGTTATAGTTGTGTGGCTTCATATCTGGGTGCTCTATTCTGTTCCACTGGTCTTCATGTCTGTTTTTGTGCCAGTACCATGCTGTTTTTATTGTTATTGCTTTGTAACATAGTTTGAAGTCAGGTATCGTGATACCTCCTGCATTGTTCTTTTGACTGATAGAATAACTGTCTTCAAAAACACCACCAACAACAAATGTTGGTGAGGATGTGGGGAAAAAGGAACCCTCATTCACTGCTGGTGGGAATGCAAGCTAGTACAATCACTCTGGAAAACAATATGGAGACTTCTTAAAAAACTAAACATAGATCTGCCATATGATCCAGCAATCCCACTCCTGGGGATATACCCAAAGGAATACGACTCAGGTTACTCCAGAGACACCTGCACACCCATGTTTATTACAGCGCTATTCACAATAGCTAAGTTATGGAAACAGCCAAGATGCCCCACTACTGACTAATGGATTAAGAAAATGTGGTATCTATACACAATGGAATTTTACTCAGCCATTAAAAAGAATGATATCTTATCATTTGCAAGTAAATGGATGGAACCGGAGAACATCATCTTAAGCGAAGTTAGCCAGGCTCAGAAGGCCAAAAATCATATGTTCTCCCTCATATGTGGACTTTAGATCTAAAACAAATCCAGTAATATTATTAGACTTGGGTCACATGCTAAAGGGAGGACACATACAGAAGGAATAGGGAATGGTAGGAAACCCATAACTTTAAAGTGTTTGATGTCCCCAGTGCATAGGAGCTAATACAGTAACCTTAAAATGACAGAGGTCTATGGGAAGGTGACCAGGAAGTAGTGAAGAGGTCAGTAGAGATGAATCAATTCGGGTTGTAACACATTTGTGCATGGAAGCAATGCTAGGAATCTCTCTGTATAGCTATCCTTATCTCAACTAGCAAAAACGCTTTGTCTTTCTTATTATTGCTTATGTCTACTCTTCAAAAAAATTGGAGAGAAGGGCAGAACAGGTTCTGCCTGGAAACGAGGAGGTGGGGGGAGAAAGGGGGGGCCACGGGAGAGAAATGACCCAAACAATGTATACACATATGAATATATGAATAAAAAAAAAAAAGACCTTCCTAGTACTAAGGGGAGGAGAGGTATATTTTCTAGAAGATCTTTCTAATTTCCTTTCCTTTTCCAAGACAAAAATGTTGAGGAATATTTTCCCTTCAGTTTTGCAAAGAATGTAGAAAAGGAAATCGGAATTGATTCAGATTCTAGAAGGATTCCTGCGTTAGACAGAGCACTGGGCTAAATGACTGCTCCATCAGTCCATTTGTGCTGCTCTAAAAATATCTCAGACTGGGGACTCACAAGCTGTAGAAATTTATTCTATAGTTCAAGATGTTGGAAGTTCAAGATCAAGGCCTGCAGCCTCAGTGCCTGGTGAGGGCCTGGTTTGTCCTTCCTAGATAGTGCCTTGTGCGCCCTCCACTGGAGACATAAACTGTGTTCTCATTTGACGGGAGGGGTGTGAAGGGAAAAGGCCTAACCAGCTCCTATAACCCCTTTTGTAAGGCAGAGGTCCCAACTCTAGAAGTAGAGCTCTCATGGCCTAAACTCCTGCAGTTCAGTGCTGCTGCACTGAGGATGGGATCTCAACATGAATTTTGGAGGGACCAAACATTCAAATCACAGCAATCACCACGGTCTCTTGAGTGTTTGAAAATTGGAGTGCTGTTCTGGCTATCTTTTTCAGTCTGTATATTTTTCTGATGCTACATGAAGGTTGACATTTTATTTTAATTAGTAGATAATTTTGGTAAATAAATCAAAATCTTTCTGACTTTTTTGTTTTGAAGACTTAAGTCTCTTCGAATACCTCAAAGGCAAAAAGAAAATGTTTAATGAAAAGATAGCAAATTTTGTCTGACATTTTCATACAGAACTAAAAATATCCTGGTTTGAGATTCTGGGGAAAAAAAAAAAAGTAAAGCTTTCTTTTAAAGCATGAGCTCGCTTAGTGAAAATATTCACACATTCCATAGGTTCTGAGGTGCATAGCATCTCCACAGTTGAAGTGTGTCTTATAATTGTTGGTGATTTATAGTTTGATTAGCAGTAGTTTTCCTTTTTTTAGTGTTATATCAAATGGCATATCTCCTAATTAATGGCATCTTAGATTTTACAAAATCAGTAAATTTAAAGTATCCTCTTTCGGTTGCATGAAGTCCAAATGTGTACATTTATTGATAAACCTAATATGTTGGATTTGTTTCCTCCCAGTTTCCCCTCTTGAAATAATGTGTGGCTTTAAGTGAGTAGTGACTAGATGGTCGGGTTTATTGCTTTGTTTTCACATGCAACAGCAGTCCATGGGCTGCGGAGGCCACAGTTTCGTCAGTCCTGGTGGTGTTGCATTTAAACTGACTCCAGAAATGACGACCAGTTTGAGTCTCCTGTTCTCTTGCGTAGAGGACATTTTACTGCTAGTCTGTGGCTTTCACATGGCATCCTGCCCCTGTGACACTAGGTAGAGTATGGGAGGTGGCCACTGCCCGATGTGTCCAATCCCATTCTGATCACTCTTTAGATACCTTAGTGCTGGTGACTGCACCCAAGCCAGGTCTCAGCACCGGTGTTCCCAGTGTGTGATGCTGCATCATGAGGTGGGTGGGGTGTCACCGGGCTAAGTGCCACCTAAGCAAGAGCACTGGCAGGTACTTGTGTTCTCTGCGATGACCTTTTCCCTGGAACTGGCTTCAAGGAACTAACAAAGGAAATTGCCCAGAGTGGTACAAGAAGTACTACTGATTCCCCTACGTGGGGAGACAGCAGCAACTTCCTAATGTTTTTTGTATCTGATCCGCATTGTGTTTGCACTTAAGTAGGTTTCTTAACTGTTCCCATTCTTGTAGGTGAAAGTACAAAACCTGCTCACTAGTACCTGTCTCCACCGCCACTGTGATAACACATGTGTTCCCTTCCCTTTCCCATGCATCCCACTCAATGCTCAGTTCTCAGATGAAGATGGAGACTGCTCTTCATTCACCCTGGGCAGAATTCTGCTCCAGCTACTGCCATTGACAACAGTGGCCATTTGTAAGACCTAAAAGGGTTGGAACTTTTAGCATTCTATTAAAAACAAACAAAAACCCATAAGTATTAAATAATGTGTTTTATTTGCTAATGATTTCTTTGGAAATTAGAGGAAGGTATTTGCCTTACGAGGCCTTTGTGGGAAATAATACATTTTCACACCAATAGTGAAGAAACACTTCTCCCAGTGATCTTGGTATGGTTTCAACTGAACATAATGATGCACTTAAAATAAATGTTCTTTTGCATTTAATGACTGGATTCTTAGAGCTGAAGGTGCTCTTGCTGCTGCTGCCCTTTGTAGAATGTTGTTTTTCCTTCTGTAAGTCATAGTCTAAATATACTTAACCACTTCTCATTAGTACAGATTAGTTATAGATACATTAAACCACAAACTTTTGGGCATTTAATCTTATTGCGAAGTAAACCTTATTACAGAAATGCTTAACAATTTTGAGTTCTGTGAGGTCATTTGATGCTAATGGTACCAAGCTCCAGTGGCCATGAGAGTAACGTTATCATTTAATTTTGCTGTCTATCTGCCCAATTTTAGCAGAAAGCAATATTTTAAGAGAGGATAACTGAATGGCAAATATGCCAAGTTTCTTGGTATAGAGTTAGTTTAAAATTTGAGCAACATGGAACCCTCCCATCTTCCCTATGGAAAACATTTTCCTCTCTTTCCTTTCTCCTGAAGTGGGCCAAATGGAGAACATATCTCCTGGGCAGATCATCGATGAGCCAATCCGTCCCGTCAACATTCCCAGGAAGGAGAAGGATTTCCAGGGAATGCTGGAGTACAAGAAGGAGGATGAACAAAAGCTTGTTAAGAACCTGATTCTAGGCAAGTATTTTCTACATGGGATAAAAGGGCTTTCTGATAATGTTGACAGTAGGAAAGATTGGTTAGAATGTTTAAAATAGTCAATCCTGAAGTTCCTTTTGGTTTTGTTTTTTCTTTTTAAATTTTTCTTTTTTTCGATACTGGGAACTCACTGTATTGTCTAGGTTGGTCTTGAGCTCCCGGGCTCAAGCAATCCTCCCACCAGTGGACTACAAGCCCGTGCTGCTGAGCCTGACTAAGATATACCTGTAGTCACCGTTACACACTATACCCTGTGGGGCCCTGCTAGCATCCCAACAGTACCATGCTCTATCAAATGCAAAGTCAAAAGCCCAGGGTCCTTTGAGGCCAGGCCTTCTCAGCTCTGGCTGAATATTAGAACCACCTGGGAAGCTCTGTGTGGGGTTATGGGATTTTGGTTTATTTGTTTGTTATTGTTTTGAAGCAGGGTCTCCCTACCTAGCCCAGCCCAACTGGGAACTTGCTATGTAGTCCAGGCTGACCTTGAACTTGCAATCCTCCTGAATCCATCTCCCAAGTGCTGAGATTACAGGCCTGTACCACTAAGCCCAGCTTCAGGGGTCGAGGTGAGGGCCTCGAGAATGCTTGACAAGCTACTGCTGAGCCATACCCCTGTCCATCCAGGAAGATTTTGAAAGTATTGATATATAGTCCTCCACCTCTAGAGAGCTGAGCCTGGCCATGTGTAGTACTTTGCTAGAGACCTCTCGGGGGATTCTCAAGGGTAACCACAGCTGAACTCCACTGCTGTAGGCCATTTAGGGTCCTGAATTTTTCTGGTTTTCCTTACTTCCCTAGAGAGGCTTATGACTAAATATGTTGAGAACAGCAGTTCAATACTAGGGAAGAAACAAAATAATGAAAGGGAGATTCCAGCAAAGGAAGGAAAGGATGGGACAGATGACAAGGAAGCAGAAGAAGCATTTTGGAGGGGTGTGAGCCTGCTAGCTCTGTAAAAAGACTTTTTATAGGAGGGTAAATGAGGAGAGAACACATGTACCTATGAGCTGTGTGCTGAAAAACCTAAAAGCTTCCTTCAGTATTTGCATGGCTTTCCTCCCTCTGGGTGCCAGGGTGACAGCACTGTGATCAGTAATTATACCTAATTTAACATGCCTTGGGCTCATGGCATTAAACTTAGTGCTATTTATGGTGCAGGGTTGCTTCAGATTCAACGTGATCTACAGTTAGCAAGATGTTTCAGAAGCGATGGTTTGAGGGATGAAAAAGGAAAATGAGGAAAGGCAGATGTACAGTATTATATAAACTCATCAGGAAACTCTCTTTAGTAAAGCAATCTTTAGAGGCCAAGGGAAGTCAGGAGGCAAGTCATGCTGATGTCTGGGGAAACAGCTTTAGAGGCAGAAAATAATAAGTACATAGGCTCTGGGGCAGAAGCATGCCTGTATGTTCAGCCAGCTGTAAGGAGGCCCATTTGATGGAGCAGAGTGAGCTGAGGCTGGGGAAGAGTAAGGGCTAGGTCACAGGAAACACAATGAGGATTTCAGATTTTATAAGTGAGTGGGTGAGAAGCTGCTTGGAGGATTCTCGGAAGAAGAGTAACATAATCTGACCTACATTTCTTAAAGAAACACTCTCCCCATTGTATGGAAGATACAGTACTGGGGAGTAAGGGGTGGATCCAGGAGACCAGGCAGGAAGCTGTTGTAGCCATCCAAGAGCTGATGGTAGCCTAAACTAGGGTGGTAGCTAGGCCTGAATATCGTTTATAGAAAGAGCCAACAGGATCCAGTGACAAATGAGGTATGTGGTGTAAGAAAAGAAAGGAATCAAAGGAGACAAGGCTCATAACCTGAAAAACAGGGAGACCCCTCCAAAATGCTTCTTCCACTTCCTTGTCATCTGTCCCATCCTTTCCTTCCTTTGCTGGAATCTCCCCTTCACTATTCTGTGTCTTTCCTAGTATTGAACTGTTACCCTCTTTCCTGATGGGGAGGTCCACTAGGAGAGTAGGTTCCCTTGGGAATCATGAGTTTGACGTACCTGAGCAGAGGCATCAAGAAGGCACTTGGTACACAGGACTGGAGTCCAAGGGGGAAAGTAAAGGCAGGATACATAAATTTTATATAGATACATTTAGTTTCCACACCCAATAATTTCTCCACTTGATGAACTGTTAAAATCCTTTTTTTTCATATGACTTACCCTGAATGATTGAACTCCTACTTTTATGTCTCACAAAGCATGCCTCACAAAGACTTTCAGTGTTACATAATTTTGTCTTTCCTTTCTTCTTTTTTCAGAACTGAAGCCACGTGGCGTAGCAGTCAATTTGATTCCAGGGCTACCAGCATATATCCTGTTTATGTGTGTTCGACATGCTGACTACCTGAATGATGATCAGAAAGTCAGGTCTCTGCTAACATCAACAATTAACAGCATCAAAAAAGTGCTGAAGGTCAGTTTGTGTTCAGGATTTCTCACAATGGATGTTGATGATGACAGTCTGCACGGAGGTGCTTTTTCTTCTTTAGACGTGGGCAAAAATGCAAGTTACAGACACTTTCCATTGTCGGAAACATTCTTCCTTACAACCTCTTTCAAAGTTAATTTGAAATTAATGCATTTAATTGTGGAGCAAGTTAAATTTCTTCACGGGCAGAAATCATCTGCTTTAAGGTTTTATTTGTAGTAAATTAAACATTTATGTTTAGTGGAGACCATATACAGGACAGAGTCTGTTAAGTCAGACGCTCAGTTCAGTAACACGTGGCTCGTGCATACAAAAAGGTGTCTGACCAAGTTTCCATCTAACTTTTTTTTTTGGTGGTAATGTTTTACTTCAGAGCTTCTTGCTATGCAGATGTTCTACAACTTGAGCCAGGCCCTCAGGTATTGGGTTTTTTTGCTTTATTTTTCAGATAGGGTTTTGCATTTTTGCCCAGGGCCAGCCTTGGTCTTCAATCCACCTGCCTTTGTATCTTACACAGCTGGGATTATAGATGTGAACTAATTCACCTGGCTTATTTGTTGAGATGGGGTCTTGCTAACTTTCTGCCTGGGCTGGCCTCAAAACTTAATCCTCCTGATTTCTGCCTCCTCAGTAGCTAAGATACCAAACATGCACCATCATGTCTGGCCCCTCTTCCAGCTTTTGGTCCCATAATTCTCCAGCTCATCCCATAATCTTTTCTGTTACCTAAAATGCCTGCTTCCATATGAGAAGCAGCACAGAGACGCTATTAGAGAAGAAAGACTTGGAAAAGGCAGCAGCATTTATATAACTGAACAGAAAGCCCTGCAAAACTCAGTAGTCACTGAGTCACCGTGTATAATCCACCTCTTGGCTCAATGAAAAACAATTATACTTAGTTCTTTAGCTCAGTGCTTCTTGAGAAATTCAGGTAATATGTTCCTGATTCTTTGCCTCTGATGATCTAACGTAGTGGGAGCATTAGGGAAGAAGGCAAGTAAGTGGTCATTCCCCAGGGACTCTCATCCAAAATGTCTTGCATGAAGTTTTGAAAGTGTGGTAAAATATACATAACATAAAATTTGCCATTTTCAGCTTTCTGACATGCACAGTTTTGTGGCAGTAATTGCATTCACAGAATTGTACAGCCATCACCGCCATCCATCTGTAGAGCCGTTTCACTTCCCCTGCCACTCTGCAGTCCTCCCTCCCTCCAGCTCTGGTCACGAACTTCCACGGATGCTGGTTCTCACCGCCTGTGGTGCAGCTGTTCTGTATAGCTACAGTCCACGGTGGTTACGAAAGCGTGGGGTTTCTGAGGATTTAACATTTAAAAATTGATGCACGTCTCTGGAATATAACTTACATAATATCTGGCATGTTGATGTGCATTGCACTTCAGTGGACTGTAAGTCTGCTATTCTCAACATAGACAAAAACAAACATTAACAAACGATACATTTTCTCTCCCAACCTAATTGCAAGACACATTTACCTAGTTTTATAGATTATCGCAGCATATTGTTTATGGATTGAAAAGGACTATGTACCTGAACGCAGCCCACTTGAAGTCCACGCGCTGTCTCCTGTCCTGTTTCAAGTTGTAGAGTGTCTTCTGTCCCTCTGTTGATTTTAACAATTGTTTTTTTATGTGGGCTCTAAAGCAGCATAAAAGCATAAGGAGAATTCATAGTTTTTAGCTAACAGGTCATTTTTATTTAATAAATCAAAAACTGAAACTAGCTTTGAATTCATTTTGTTTTCTCTGTGAGGCAGTTGAAACTAAATTGTTATTTAATTTTGACCAAATACAGTATGTGCATTGTAAAAATATTACTTTGACAAACAACCTAGTAACTTCTTGAGTAGAATTGCTATTCAGTTTTAAATTTTTTAAAGTTTCCAGAGAAGTAAGTGATCTTTTGGTTTTGGTTTTTCTGTTGTTTTCATTTTGTTTGAGACAGTGTGTCACTACATAGCCCAGGTTGACCTAGAACTCAGGATCTTTCTGCCTCAGCCTCCAAGTGCTGGGATTACAGGAGTGCACCACACTCAGCATGTAAATGATATTTTATTTATGTATTTATTTCTTTGTTTATTGGTGGCTCTGGGGTATGAACTCAGGCCTTTGTACTTGCTCGGTAGATGCTCCACTGTTTGGGCCATGCCTCCAGACCTTTTTTCTCTGATTACTTTTGTCATAGGATCTCGCTTTTTGCCCAGGGTGGGCCTGGACCATGTTCTTCTATTTTAGGTTTCTCACCATAGCTGAGATGACAGGTGTATGCCACTCCATCTGACTAGTGGCTGGGATAGGGTCTCCTGGACTTTTTGCCCTATTTGACCTAGAACTGCAGTCTTCCCATCTTAGCCTCCTGTGTAGCTGGGATGGCAGGTGTGTACCACTGTGCCCAGCTGTTGGTTGAGATTGTGTCCCATGAAGTTTTTCGCCTGGACTGCCCTTGCACCTCAGTTCTCCCAGCCTCAACTCCCAAGTAGCTTGGATTCTAGGCATGAGCCACTGATACTGGCTACGATCTTTTATTTTGAAATAATATAGAGTATCTCATTTAAATGAAGCTAGAGAGCACCCTAGTGAAAGAAAACATATTTTTAAGTTTAAGAGTAGTTTATCCCACAATGAGAACAGATGCTTCGAGTCTTTTCCTTAGGTTATAAGCAACTTTACCTGGTAATTCTTTCTTTTATTTATTTGTATTTGTTTGTTCACAGTGCTGGGAGCCTGGGGACTCATTAGTATAGGTACAGTGACGAGCTGACAAGCTCAAGTCCTCATTTTACTACTAGGTAAATACATGAAAGAGCTAGCTATACCATCTTCCAGTTTTAGGAACATGATTTTATGATACCCCCAATCATAGATCAACCAGGACTTGAATGCAGGTTTAACAAGAATAATTTTAACCCTTGTAAAGACTGAATTACAAGTGTTCCTAACAGGGCTCTGGACTGAGCTGACAAAGACCATCAGTGCAGGTTCTGAGGCAAGGCGGTGGCAGGCTGGCCGTGGCAGGGTCACTGGAGCACTCACCTAGCCCACCTCTGCTAATGTCCAGATAAGTCAGCCTGCAGACATTCTCAGAATGGCCTGTGTCCTGGGACTTCCTATATCTAGACTAGTCAGTGGTTTTGTTCACAAATTCATGGATTTCCACATATGTCTACTGTTCAACCCCCGAGAAGCCTTCCCAGCGCCAAGGCTTCTTCAGGCAGAGTTCCTCTTCTCTGTTCCACTGTGGCCCATCCTGCTGAGCCAACCAGCTTGCCCCTGGCTCTACTGCTGAGTACAGGAGTTCCTCCATCTCCTCTCTGGAACTGCTCAGACCTTTTCTTATTGTTGACAGCATTTTTAATCCAAGCTGGGTTTGAGCACTTCAGACTCTTTTTTTATATTCTTTGTTACAAAACTTGTGATTACCATTCTTTCTCATTCCCTTACGAACCCTAAGGGAAGTGATTTCAGGTCAACAGTGGATTGAATTTGTTCTGTGTAAAAGACCAGTTAACATCAACTGAATGGTAGTACTTTTTTTTTTTTTTTTTTTTTGATGGTTCTGTGGTTTGAACTTAGGGCCTTGCACTTGCCAGACAAGTGCTCTATCACTTGAGCCACACCTCCAGCCCTTTCTTATTTAGGTTATTTTTCAGGTAGGGTCCCTCTCTGTCCTCTCCACCCTACCCCTGGCCTGGACCTGCTTGGGACCCCAATCCTCCCTGTGCTACCCATGGAGATGGGCTTGCCACCATACCCAGCTTGTTTGTTGAGATGGGAGGATCTCGATAACTTTTTTGCCCAAGATGACCTTGAACTGTGATCCTCCTGACCTCTACCTCCCAAGTAGCTGGGGTACAGTCATGAGCCTCTGCACCCAGTCCATGGCAAGGAAAGTAACAAAAAGCTGATAAACCTGGTATTTGGATTTTTGTAGCAATGACATAAGACTGCAGTGTGATTTATTTTTGGAACAGCTTGTGATGGTCATGACAGAAATGGGCCTTCCGTGTCTGTTCAGTCTTTTTTTTTTTTTTCAGGTTGTTACTTCCCAAAGGAAAAAGCAAATTTAGACTTATTTTCTCTTTCAGAAAAGAGGCGATGACTTTGAAACTGTATCCTTCTGGCTGTCTAACACGTGCCGCTTTTTGCATTGTTTGAAGCAGTACAGTGGAGAAGAGGTGAGAAAACCTTGACCACAAAACCAGCATGCTGTACTTTCTCTGACCTTTTCAAGGAAAGTTTTAAAATCACAAAATGTTGAACCGTGTTTAATTTCAAAAGCCAAACGCAAAGGTGGCTTAGAAATTCAAATCTTTGTTGGTGCTCACTACCTACCAGTGACCTGAGTATTGTTGTAGCTTCTTTCCTCTTGGAGCTCATGAGAAAGTGCAGCAAAAACAAAATAAGCATCAGTCGATGAATAGTTACCAGAAATGAAACCTGTGTCTATATTTTAAAGTAGGCTGTCCAGAACTAATACTGGAACACTGAACTGCTAAAGAAATTAACCAATTTTGGTTCACCACAGTACATTAAAGGTGATCAAAGACAAGACAGAATGTAAGGTCATGTGTCTTTTGATGTGTCCAAAATTCTGCATTGCTTTTGTTTGTAGTGGTGTGTTCATTGATCATTTGATAGACTTCATTCAACATGTTTTAAAGCTATGTAAGCTATTCTTTACTGTTTACTAAGGGCTCCTTAATAAATACCTGACAGCACTTATTATACATTAGATTATTTATATTACTTAATTTTCATACCACCTCTGTGCAGTAGGAATTAATAGCCAGTTTTACATATGACAAAACTGAAGCTCAATGAGGCTCATCAATGTGCCCAAGTCCTCTTTGCCAGAAGCAGCAGAGCTTGGATTCTGGGTCTGCCCACATCACAGAGCCTGTGGCCCTCACCCACCACCCTCCATGCCTCCCATCTTCTGCCAGGAGGATAGGCAGAGGAGCTGCTCACTAGTGCTCTCTGTCACCCCAAGGCTGAGGGCTGTCCTGGCAAGTGTTGGGGAAAAAAAGATGAGCAAGACAGCTAGAGGATGGACCTGACCTCAGACTCCCAGGACAGGCCACGAGCTGTGACCCGTCAGTTCCCACATCTAGACCAAGTCACTAGGTGGGCTGTAGGGAGGCAGTGCTCAGCCAAGGGGCAGAGCCCACCAAATAAGCAACTGCCTTCACCTGGCAATGTCAAGTGAGCCTGTTTAGAGGCAAAATGAAAAAAATATCTGCTTGTCCAGTTAGCTTTCCTTGTAACAAATGCCCCCATCAGATTCTGTCCTAAACTCTGGCTGAAAATCGTGGTGTGGATACCATGAAACATAATAAGGGACATTGCTCATTTGGTTAGCAGTTTCAGTAGAAGCTGGTCTATTCAAGAAGTTGATGCATACGCCTCTGGGCACTGTGTTTATGCAAGGGCCATGTTCAATGAGCTGAAGTTAAGAGATTAGTACTTCAGATGATTTAGTGTTTGGCAGTCACCTGCTGTTTTAGAAAAGAAACACTCTTTCATTTTTTTAAGTTAAATTCCCCCAACTTGTTTAAGCCTTTATAGATAGGCTTAAATCTAGGTTGCCAAGAAAAGCTAGAGAGAAGTGCAAGTAGGAGCCGTGGAAGCAAACAAACACACAGCGGCATGTGAGAATGATTTACTGGCCTGCGGGGGGGGGGTGGAGTGGATCAAACTCCTGGGAAAGAGGAAAAAGCATGAAAAGCTAGCAAAACAACAGAGACGCCTTTGCTCTGTGTGACTCCAGGGCTTCATGAAGCACAACACATCTCGCCAAAATGAACACTGCCTCACCAATTTTGACCTGGCTGAGTATCGGCAAGTGCTGAGTGACTTGGCCATTCAGATTTACCAGCAGCTCGTGCGAGTGTTAGAGAACATCCTTCAGCCAATGATCGGTAAGGCCAGCATCATCAGTCTATCTACCCCACATACCCATCAATAAATGACCAGTGCTGTACATCTCAGGGCATGTATTCATACAGAGCATGTAAAGTAGTAAAATACAGACCTAAGATTAGCTGAGGAATCCCAGAATGCAGCCAGGGCTACCTGGGATGCAACCAGAATCACTGCTTCCATATGATAGAAACCATCCCCAGTGTGTAATGCTTTTCTCTTAAGATCAGGTTATGCTATGTATCCACAAAAGACTTAATCCCTTGTCTAGTTTTCAAAAACCACTTTAAACTTTGGGCTAGAGCACTACCATGCAGGACTTCCTAGGGGCCCATGGAAAACCAAAGAGGTGGGGAAGGGTTTGTACTTTCCAGGATGGTGTACAGTGAAAGGACTGAGAAAGCACTGTTGCAACAAGGACAGGTCTCAGAGGTTTGCCTCAGATACTCATTGTACCTTTGGAAATGTTAGAGGCAATCTGGTGTGAAGTAGTGGTTTCTCATTAGCTGGGTGGCTGGTGTGTGTATGTGTGTGTGTGTGTGTGTGTGTGTTTCTATTTGTATATACTCAACTAAGTGTGCAGTTCAGTGTCCCTCTTCCTATGTGCGCACTCACTCGTTCTGATTCGTTTGTATGTTGCGCTGTCAGTATTCCTTTAGAATTTACAACATCTGTACATAGGAATCAGGAGCCATGTAAAAATTGCAGGCTGCTAATTTTGAATGGTGGTGAATAAGAAAAAGTTTTTTCAAGTTGCTAAATACTGACTTCAGGCAAATTATCAGCAGACTTTGTTTTTGGTTTTTGTTTTTGGTGGACTGGGGTTTGAATTCACAGCCTCATGCTTGCTAGGCAGGCACTGTACCAACTAAGCCACGTCCCCCCAGCCCTCAGTAGATCCTTTAGGCTGTTCCCAGCTATACTTTTTCCCTACCCATTTGTTTTCCACATTTCCACAACTTCTCTTCCCCTGGAAGCCTCAGAATACTCAGTTTTCTTCCTAGGTCCACAATTAACCTGCTGGCAATGTAAGAGACTAAGGAAGCCTCTGAGATGGCGGGAATTTCTCGTTTTCCCCCAAAGCAATCTAAGTTGGCCAAAATGCAGGAGGCCAGAGGGTCGGCTCCAGCCAGTCTTTCTTCTACTTTGGCCTGTGTTTATTGGCTGAACAGGAAGTTTGCCTCTAAGTTGTCTCATTCTGAATAACTGCTTCCTTCTCTTGGTCATTTAAGAGCAGCAACAGCAAATGTTTTGAGTTGGGTGAGGCTCTGGGGGAGCTCACTTCAGCACAAGGAGACATAAAAATGAGCTAAGCATGGTCTCTGCTTTCAAGGGCTCTCAGTCAAGGCATAGACCTCTTAGAAGTTTTCTAAAGGAGGCATAAGCTACATGCTGGAGAGCATGGTGGGGAGGGTGGCGCAGATGGGTCCTGGGAAGCCAAGGCAAGCCCAGAGTCTCACTGCTGTTGTGGGAAGGCCAGAACAGAGAAGGGTCCAGCTCTCCAGCTCCAGACCACCACCTTCTTCTAAGTCTTATGCAAGACTTTTCCCCAGGGTCATGCCTTTCTTACTGGGCTGTTTTTGGTTTTTGCCTCTGAGATCAAATGTGAAGAGTACTTATCTCAACCCTCACTGCTACCTCCTCTCTCAAAAACTCCCCAAGACATGTCACGCTGGACTGTCACAAAGCTGCTGCTGCTTATTTAAAAAAAACATATCATTGATTTTTTTTTTTGTTGATTCCGTCATTAAAGTTTAAAATCCAGAAGTCCTATTTTGATAAAGTCACTTTTCCCTCTATTTTGATTCTCAGATGATTTTCCTAAATTGAATGTGTGGTGTGTGTGTATACATGTGCGCATGCATGTGTGTGCAGCTCTGCGTGTGAAACAGGCTTTCCTCCAAATCTTCTCTTCTAACAACTGAAATACCCTGCAGTCTCAGGCATGCTGGAGCATGAAACGATTCAGGGCGTGTCTGGGGTGAAGCCCACAGGGCTCAGAAAGCGAACGTCCAGTATCGCTGACGAGGGCACCTACACGCTGGACTCCATCCTCCGGCAGCTCAACTCCTTCCATTCGGTTATGTGTCAGCATGGCATGGACCCAGAGCTGATCAAGCAGGTGGCCAAGCAGATGTTCTACATCGTGGGGGCTGTCACCCTGAACAACCTCCTCCTGCGGAAGGACATGTGCTCCTGGAGCAAAGGCATGCAGATCAGGTGAGCACATGCCAGTCCCGGGACAGCTTCCTGTCACTGCCCAGCTGGCCAGCTAGGCGTGCACAGTGCTGATGACTCACTTCCAGTCAGCCCTCCTTATGGTGCCACGTGGCCGGGCTGCAGGGGAAGAACTGGCACAAGCCACTTCCTCTTGCCTGGCTGTCCTGCTCTTGTCAGTGCTTGCCAACAGGGTCCTCTGACTGCCTGATGGGACAGCTGCTCACCGGCAGAACCCCTTAGGTGACACAGTGGGGAGAAGCTGCAAAAATGACAGGAGACAGCTGCTTCCTCTCCTTTTGTGTGCCTCGATTATACAATAAGAAAATATTAAATTACAATGAAGATTTCTAATATTTGCTTTTAGAAGTGCATCTTGACAAAATACCTTTCTGCACTTAAGGCAACAAAAAACAGGTCTAATAACTCTTTTATTAACGCTGGAATTTTAAGGCAAGCTGCATTCAGCTTTTCTTGTTGTTGGTTTTACTCTCTGTTTGTTTTTGAGATAGGATCCTGCTATGTGGCCCAGGATGACCCTGAACTCATGATCCTCCTGCCTCTGTCTCAGTGGTGAGATTGCAGGTGTTTGCCTCCATGCCCAGCTGCTGCACTCAATTTTATGCCAAATTCCTCCTTGTCATAGCCTCATAATTGCAGTAGTACTGATTTTTTTTGCAAAATGTTTATTTTAAAACAGAATATTCACTGAGAGAGGAAAAAAGTAGTTTTTCCACAAAAGTCTTTATTTACTCACTCTCAGAAAACGTTAGAGTTCTTTTCACATTTTTCATTCTGACCCACACCTGCTTGTCAACATTAAGGCGATGCCTTCCATTCAAAGAGTCGGACTAGTTCTCTACAGGTTTGCTACGAATGTGAAGTCACCCAACGTGATACCTTAAAGCCTCCTATTTGCTGAGTACGAAGCACTATCTGTCCCTTGATTGCAGGCTTAGCATGAGATCCATGTCCCTTGCTTGACCACCCCTGAAACCTTAACATCCGGGTATTTTCTCGTGTCTCTCGATTTAGAGTCTTTGTCTCTCCCAAGACCTTCCCTTGCCTTCTCTCCTTCTGTCTCAGGGCTTCCTCAGACCACTATCTCCATCACCCAGGCCCTTCTCTAGAGAAGCTTGGGCACAAGGCCTAAGTTAGGGGGATTTGTTTATTCAGTCATCTAACTTGGAGTTTGCCTTAAGGAAAAGAGAGCACATAAAGGGTTATTGAGTCTCACCCTGTAAAAAGAACCCACGTCTGAAATTGTAAGAGAAGCTAGAAATTATTCCCTGGTCAGCTGTGCAATTATTATTTATTCTGTTTTTATTTATTAGCAAGTTTTATAACTTCCTATAATGACTTTGTTTCCATCTTCTATTAGAGAGAATTATATTTTCTTGTCATTTAATCTTACATAATTATTATAAACCTCATAAATATGTATGATGATAAATTTTAAAGCACAGCTGATTAGATTTAAGAAAATTTCAAAGAAAATTGAACAAAAATACTGCCTGTCATTTTTACTGACAAGGCCATACACCCAAAATTAAGACATTTATGACAGCATTCAACAAATTTACATTCTCTCTCTCTCTCTCTCTCTCTCTCTCTCTCTCTTTTGGCGTAGGTACAATGTCAGTCAACTGGAAGAATGGCTGCGGGACAAGAATCTGATGAATAGTGGGGCCAAGGAAACCCTGGAACCTCTCATTCAGGCCGCACAGCTTCTGCAAGTGAAGAAGAAAACAGACGACGATGCAGAGGCCATCTGCTCCATGTGTGGCGCTCTAACAACTGCCCAGGTACGCAGCCATCTTAGCCCAAACACACACAGAGGATACCTATTGGTATTGCTCATTTCCACGCTGACTTCATCTGCAGTCCAGAATATGTAGGGCTTACGATCTGAGAGAAAGCAGATTTTACCAGAAATTAATATACTTCAGGGCTAGTGATGGTCATTTATTCTGTCGTGTAGTGTCCACACTGCTCTGTGCAGTGTTCCAGGACTGGGATAGTCAGGAAGGAAAGTAATCCCTGTCCTCATGGAATAGACGTCCTGTGGCGCTTACACTGCGTGAAACCATTTCCATTTGAAGGGCATTTGAGGTAATGCAATGGCAGGAGGCAAGGCCTCAGCATAAACATCCCATCTTTCTTTTGCCTAGTCATTTTCTGTGCTGATTCTTAAAATATCCCAGTTTTCATCACATATCTTCTAACATAAAAATCTTCAATTGTGGCCAGTGTAATTAAACTCAATCAGTAGACAGAGTTTATTCATTTACTTATTCAGGCTATTTAACAAATTTTTCTTTGGAAAAGTACTCCTTCTTTTCAGAGCCCTAGTACCTGCTTCTGTGTGACTGACCCCTGACAGCCCATCAGCACTCCTGCTTTCTCAGTAGCATCCCTCTGCTTCATGACTAGTGACCATGAGTGTATTGGCAGGCACAGCTTGCAAACGAAGCCAGGTGCTAGTTTATACTGTAATCTTCAAACCTAGAGGCTAAAGCAGGAGTTCCATAGTTCAAGGCCAGCCTGAGCTACATAGCGAGACCCTAACTCAGGAAAAAAAAAGTATCTTGAAAATGAAAATTATATTTGTTTTTGTTGTAAAAGAATTGTGACCATTTTATAAAAGAAATTGACATTTTTAAAAGAATTTAATATCCTCTAACTAATTGGTTAATTTCTTTAGAAACCATTGTGGTTTTTCATTTATAACTATGTTTTGTTAAAAAAAAAAACTATGATTTTTAAAAAGACATTCAAAACAAATATTTAGAGCTGGTGCAGTGGCTCAAGTAGTAGAGTGCCTACCTAACAAGCATGAGGCTCTGAGTTCAAACCCCAGTACCACCAAAAAAAAAAAAAAAAACCAACAACACCAAAACAAATATTTAATTCTTTTATTTTTAGTATAGCTAGATACATGTGTTTACATGAAGAGAGTAAGGTGTATAAAAATAGCATGTGTCAGAATATGTATAGAAAGTAGCTGGATGGATCCTTAGGACATGCTAGCAGTTGTTGCTTTGGGAGACTGGGAGGATGGGAGTGAGGCACTTTTATTGTTCATGTTGTTTTATTTTGTTTTGGTTTTTGGAGGTACTGGGGTTTGAACTCAGGATCTCACACTTGCTAGGCAAATTTACATTGCTTCTCCTTTAGAAATTCAAATAACAAAGGTGAATGTGCCCTTCCATTTCTTCTTCCTTCTCATCCCATCCCCAGGTGGAACTGGAGACTGCACAGATCCTTTTTGTTCTCCAGATAGTGAGGGCCCAATGTGTCTTTGATAATCTGCAAAAACTTTAACCATTTAATTTCTTCCAGATTGTCAAAGTGTTGAATTTGTATACTCCAGTTAATGAATTTGAAGAAAGAGTCTCTGTATCATTTATTCGTACCATACAGGTAAAAGCTCTTTTCCTCTGATTTATTAGCAGTCTTTTGTTTTTTTGTTTTTTTTTTTTTTTTTTTCTTTTATTATTCATATGTGCATACAAGGCTTGGTTCATTTCTCCCCCCTGCCCCCACCCCCTCCCTTACCACCCACTCCACCCCCTCCCGCTCCCCCCCCTCAATACCCAGCAGAAACTATTTTGCCCTTATCTCTAATTTTGTTGTAGAGAGAGTATAAGCAATAATAGGAAGGAACAAGGGGTTTTGCTGGTTGAGATAAGGATAGCTATACAGGGCATTGACTCACATTGATTTCCTGTGCATGGGTGTTACCTTCTAGGTTAATTCTTTTTGATCTAACCTTTTCTCTAGTACCTGTTCCCCTTTTCCTATTGGCCTCAGTTGCTTTAAGGTATCTGCTTTAGTTTCTCTGCATTAAGGGCAACAAATGCTAGCTAGTTTTTTAGGTGTCTTACCTATCCTCACCCCTCCCTTGTGTTATTAGCAGTCTTTTGAGTGGAACTGTGATGTCATTAAAGGATAGCGTGTTTTTATCCTTCATTATTTTATCTTGGTTTGCAGTGTGTTCATTTTTTGATAAGTTTATTGAGTCAATGAAATGATTTTAAAACACATTCTTCATTGGTTAAAGTTTTTTTTTTTTTGGTAGAAATTTTGGCAAAAAAAAGTTTTGAGATTCAAAGAACTTATGCCTTGTTTATCTTTTTTCTTAATCTTCTCAGATGCGTTTACGAGACAGGAAGGACTCTCCTCAGCTGCTCATGGATGCTAAACACATCTTTCCTGTCACCTTTCCCTTTAACCCATCCTCCCTCGCACTAGAAACCATCCAGATTCCAGCCAGCCTGGGTCTGGGCTTCATTTCACGGGTCTGAAAGTGATGCCGGGCAAATAGTGACAATGCATTTCTTGCCTGGAAAAGAACCATGATTACTGTAAGCTACTAAAAATTCATTTGTAAAAAGAAAGTACAGATTATCTCTCCAGCAGGATGTTAACTGGAAATCTCCTGGAATGCGTTCATCATCTTAGAAACAGAGGCTCCTTTGTGCTGTGCTCTCTTTATAAAGCAGCTCTCGTCCTTGGTCATTTGGCTATCCTGAGTTTACATGCACCTACGTAGGAAGGAAGAAAAACTATGTGTCGTTAGCTGCCAGCGTTTATGTTAAATCCTTAGCACTGCATTCAAGTGCTATAAAAATCATAAAGTCCATCTCTAAGAACTGTCGTTGGGAAGATACCAGCAAAGGATCTCCTGCACTGAACAGAAGGGCTGAAAGAAAAGTTGCCATTGCATACATATCATATGAGTTTAGGAACCAATCATGATGTTGTCAGACTGGATCAAAGAAATAAACTGGCAATATATAAAGTACCCGGCCAAGTAACTTCCTTATTGTGTCACTATGATACACAGATGTTAAAAGAGTGTCAGTTTGCTGTACAGCATAGATGTCCATTGTACTGTAGCTTACTGAACATCTTAAATTGCTGCTACCTACTGTCTCCTTAAAATGTAAATGCTATCTTATTAAGCACTACAATAAGCTTCTCTTCTATCAACTCTGTTTACAATTCAGTCAGCTCAGTTTTAACTGGATTATATGCAAATATCTACAGATTCATTTGCACAAGTAGCAAACACTGAGAAGCAAATGGCAAAATGCTTGACATTTGGGGTAGGATTAGACAAAGTGGCTATTGGTGATGTCATTATTCATTCATGATGTGTTGCATTGATGTGCTCATTAATTTTCCCAGGGTGGACTTTGAATTCGGGTACAGTGCTCCGTGAAGTGGCTTATTTTTAGTTCCCAGATCTGATGCCTGCAGTGCATATTCTCAACCTTGACAGGTTTTCCTTCTTCTTAATTTATTAAGAATTAATCTCAGTCATCTGAAAGGATTGTCAGAATATTCATGATTCAGGTCTTGAAACTTTGATTACTCTATAAGTTATACAAAAGAAGGTATATAAAAAACATTTAGTCATAATTCAGGTTTTTTAGGCTTTGCAACTTCTATAAGTGTCTTGAGGTGCACTAGATATTTAAAAAGCATCGCACTAGAAACACCTTAGGAGGATTTGTATAAGAAACAAAAGATGATCGCTGAATTCTACAGAGGATTTGGTTCAGGCAGACCCAGAATCTGTAAGTTTTCATTGCAGAATTCTAATTAAACATATTGTCCATTTTCCTGGAAATTGTATACAATAAATCTGTCAGGTTGTTCAAAGCAACATCTTAGCTCAGTAGAAACTCTGGTTCTTAATTACAGTCATAGGTTTATATAACTTAACTGCTAGATGATCTATGAAAATGATTCTTATTAAAATATGTGCAATATTTATGGAAGTTAAACAGTTTCAAAACAGTGAAAATACTGTCTGTAACTTCTGTGAACCTCAATTTCCTTGTTTATAAAGTAAGAGAGCTGGACAACTGGTTTTTAAAGTCCCTTCCACGTCTAAAATTCTCCATTTTCAGCACGTGGCTTCTGGGGAAAAGAGCCAGTTACTCAGTCCATCCTCTGCCGGAAGGACAGCGTGCAGGGCCTGTCCATTCCTTAGGGTTAATAAAATGTAAAGTCACAAATTTATGCAGCCACAACCTTTGTTCAATGTACATGACTTATGCACGTTTTTAGAAAGTCCTACTGTACTTGTATTATTTGAAAATTCATTAGTTCAAATAATTTTTATTACATCATATACTGCTTTATTGTTTGGGGGGGGGTTTTGTTTGAGGTTTTTGTTTGTCTGTTTTTGTCTGTCTTTCTTACTCCAGGCATTTATGTCCTAAAGTTTCTGTCTCTCTGCTGTCCAGTGCTGGAGCCACTGTTCCATATTTGGTCAGAAGTCCATCCTGCTCCAGCGATGCCAGGGCTAGAGTTCTGCTGTTCCAGGGCTCTGGCTCTCCCTAAGGCCTCCCAGGACCCTGGGTAGGGATCTAGAATAGCTTCTCATTTGTCTGAAGATTTGTAGTCCTAACAAGAATACCTTACAAACAGGGAGCCGTAAGACCTAGTTATTGACTCTGTGCACTATTTTGTTGAGGATATACAAAGATTCTGCTGGCTTGAGGACTGCTCATCCTTCCCTCTGTCATCTGCTTCCTCACCCAGCTTCGGACATACCCACGGTCCCTTCCCATACTCTTTTCTCTCTTCCCCTTCTCCCTTCCCTCAGCCTGAGGATATACCCCATCTCCGGTTGACTCGCCTGCATTTTGTGCGTTGAAGACAGGTGTATTGTGTCTGTTTCCAGTTGTCCCGGCTGGCCTTCTAGGGGGCAATCTTTGAATGAGCTCTTGTTTTGCTCGCCTCTCTGCAATACACTCTTTAACATTATCACTAATTGGCTTCTTACAGTTCCTCTGTGACATACACTTGGATTCAGAAGAGGAGCTCTTGGCACTCATATTCTTTGTCTCCATAACCCCTTCCCAGAAGTCCCTGCCCCACTCCCCTCACCGTAAGCTCCAGTCACACGCCAGGTGCCAAGTGAAAAGGCAAAAGCAGTTTCCCTTCCAGAAGGTTTTCTGAGGTTGAGGTTTTGATCTGCTTTAGAGTAACTCTGAAAGAAGGAAAAATAAAATCTGGAATAAAATCCACAAAGTGTAACTTCCTGAATCCTTTGGCAGTTTTGAAATTTTTGAATGTATCTGACACCACTTTCAGATGTGAAAGCACAGAAATATATTCCTGAGCCAACTGATGGGAGATTGGGGGATTCCTAAATCCCCAAAGTTTGAATGGTTTGCTTTGTTATTCTGTTATTTCAGTGGATAATTGAGAATTGTTTTTATGGGTTTGTGATTATGCGTAATATGGATGAAGTCTTTAATACCATAGTAGAAAAGGCTGTGAAAATATTTATTTGAGTTACAGTGTCGCAATTGTAAGAAACTACTTTTCTGGTAACCCTGGGGAAGGGGAACCTGCCACTATCCTGAGAAGTCCTCACACAATATACTGTCTGTCTCTCTCCCCATTCTCCCTGCCTCTCTCTCTTTCTGTCTGTCTGTCTGTCTCTCTCTCTCTCTCTCTCTCTCTCTCCTCTCTCTCTCACTCCCACACACACACCACCAGTTCACAGTGCTCCTCAGGAGACATAATCAAATGTCCCCTGGGTAAGCGCCAGCTGCTTAGGATAAATCAGGAAGCAGACATGATACATGATGCCATGCAGGTCCTGTTGACTGTGGTGCAGAAACGGAACCCATGTCTGGACATGCTTCATGCCAGCACCTGTCGTCTGTGTTACCTCATTTGTTCCTCCCAGCAGTGTGGACAGGGGGTCGGGCAGCTCCTGCCATCATTTGCTGATGCTAACATGAGACATCAGTGAGGTCAGTGACTTGCCTGGGGTCACACTGCTGGGAGCCGTTCTGCTGTCCCATAGGGAGCACTTGGCAGTGTGGGCAAATGCAAGGCAGGGAACTTAAAAATCATGATGTTACATATCCTGTCCCTCTGCTGCCATGGGTGCCCTGGGCCGGCAAGAGGTGCTCTTTTTCTTTATCAGAGCTGGCACTTGGCACGTGGGAAGGATCAAGTGATGAGTTCCCAGTTGTTTGTTCTAGGGAGACCAGGTGCCCAGGGCCTGGTGGTTTTCTTTTTTGTTCCAGTTACCTGCTGTAAGTACGCTTGACTTTTGTCGTGAATCAGGCTCCCTTGGAGGGTACAGAACTCTGAGTTTAGACATTAATCAGTAGCAGGCTGTCTGAACCAAAAGGTGAGGAAGCAGTGAAAACCTCTGACGTGGAGAGGAAGATCACTCTCCACGCGTTCCCTCAGAGTCTGTCAGAGCCACCTGTGAGCTGCAGGGCCAGCCACAGGCCACCCTCCCCACGGGCCCTCCACACCGCACCGAGGAGCCCAGGACCCGGGGCCTTCCGAGGGCCGTGCACCGGGCGGCCGTCGGCAGGTCAGTGTGCCTGGACCCCGTGCGTGCTGCGGCGGGTGTTCGCGCCGGAGCAGGAACTGTGCCGTGTGCACGTCAGCGAGGCTTCCACGCCGCCGGCTCTGTCCACGGCAGTGCTTGGTGATCACTCAGGCTGTGCTGCGGGGCCGCCTTAACCCTCGCTCCCTTCCCCTCTAGAGCTGCCTTAGTCCACCAACACGTCCTCTGTAAGGGGTACCTTGCCCTGCTTCTCAAGGTTTTGTGAGGATTTTGATTGGGACCCGGAATTCCTTTCTCCGTTCCTGGTCATCTTGCCCCCCTGTTCCTTTCTCCTTCCTTTCTGTCACTTTCAAACAGGGATTCCAACTACGGGGCAGCAACAACCTCGGAGACAGTGACATGTCAGCTTAGAGAATGTCTGAATTAAGTGCGCATGTGTGCAAGAAGTGTAGACGTGAGTTACAGTGTCCGTAATTCTCGAATGCTTTGCTGTGTTTTCCACCGGTCCCTTCTTAATAAAGATAAAAGGCACAACTCCAAAACTTTTCATGGACATTCTTTAAAAACAATTTGAGACTGCTGTAGTTCTGCAAATTCTAATCCACTGTATTACCCTAAATTAAGCAGATTCCAGATTTCTCAATAAACCAAGAACTACGAAGCATGACTGTAAAATATCTTCCAAAATGCATTTTATACATTTTTTATTTTACAATTTGGTCCTGCTAAAAATGTTAATTAGCTTAACTATTAATGGTTATTGTTAGATCCATAAAATGTCTAAAAATTACTAACATCTCTAGTATTGTAATATTGCTTGAAATATTTGAAAGAAAATTTTTTGGTTTTCTTTTTTTAAGTTGAAACTGGTATATATAATTCAATGCTTGGTGGGTGGTACATTTTCGTGCATTTTTCAAAGCCAGTAGTTTTAAGTATCTTACTGTTGCTATGTGTTATAAAATCTTAGCCTCTCTAAATCACTTGAGCCATCATTTTTCCTATCAAGTGGTGATCTTTCCTTTAAATGTGGATATGTATTACTGTGACTTACGATTCCTAGCTATATATTTTTGTGGGATCCTGGAGTAACATTGACTTTTTTGTATTTTTTTGAAAACTTAAATTGTTCTAACAGTGTTGCACAAGAAATGAGCTCATGACATTTACCATTATACTTTATTAAATATTTATTAACTTGCTATCAAATATACATACCCTTTAATTATAGTGGAATTCAGCGTTGCAGTTTTTCAAATATTTTTCCTGTTGGATCTTAAGAAAGGATTCTTTGATCTACCTAGAAAAACATGACACAGTTAATCTCTGAAAGGCTCCCACCCATTCAAAAGGAAGCAGAGGCACTGAGAGGTGAGGGCAACCAGCTAACTCCAGTTGAACCTGAGCCCCTCCCAGCATATCTCCATGCAATCTTTTAGAATGTTAATAACTCACTTCATAGCAACAAAAGCCTTTGAGACATGGGTTTTGACTAGGTATCACCTAGCACTAAAATGAAAACCAAAACAATATCAGAATGACATTCTATGATCTACGTTGATAGCTGTCTAATGTGCTTAGCGTATGTTTGTCATTAGTGCTGTATTCTCCTAGCTATTATAGAAATTTGTTCAAATAAAAATATAAATAAAAAGTTTTGTCAGTGTCTTATAAATAAACCCTCTGCATATTTTAAAGCAGCAAAATAAATTGTTTTTCTGAAGACTGGTGAGTATAAACATAGCTTCTCCACATGAGAATATCCTAAGGAGTCTTGGAAATGTGAAAGTTGGCAGGTTCCCTTCTACACTAGAAGCACGTGTGATGAAGAAGAGAACACTGCCAAGCACCTAAACAAACAAGCAGACAAAGCTTGTTGGCAGATCTGACTCACGTGGAAGAGCACCTGCCTAGTAAGCACAAGGCCCTGAGTTCAAACCCCAGTACCTCCGTTTTTTTTTTTCAAATATTTTTCACACACAGAAGTGCCTAACACACATATAAAATGCTCAGAACTACAAGTGGCAGAAAAGAGTAGGAAACAAAAAATAGGAACAAAGACCCAGGGCAACAAACAGAATTGCAAAAAATATGGCAGCTGTTACTCCATCTATAGTAATAACCACTTTCAGAATTAATGTTCTCAATATACCAAATAGTTGTCAAACTGAGTCAAAAACCAAGAGCCAAGTACATGTTGTCTACAATGTGTATAACTCATACAAAAGTGCAAGGGACATAAAACAGCCAAAACACTCTTGAAAGGAAGAATAAAGTTGGAGGACTCACACTTCTTGATTCCAAAACAAACTACAAAGCAACAGCCATCTAGCCAGTCTGGTACTAAAATAAGGAGATAGATAAAATACAGTGGAATAGAATTGACTGTACAGAAATAACCTATGTGTTCATAAGAAAGTAATTTCTAACAAGGGTGCTATGACCCTTTGATGGGAAAAGAATAGTCTTTTCAACAAATGATATTGGGACAACCGGATATTGGCCAACAAATGAAGCTGGACCCTTACACCATAGACAAAAAATAACTCAAAAAGGGTGACAGACCTAAATGGAAGAACTTATGCTATGAAACTCAAAAGAAAATATGATCTCCATGGCCTTGGATTGGCAAGAGTTTTAGATATGACAGCAAATGTACAAGCAACAACAACAAAAAATAAACTGGGCCTTACCACAATTGAAAACTTCAGTGTTTCAGTGAACACTATAAAAGTGAGAAGGAG